TTGGGAAATTTTTTTTTGCCAACCTTCTCCCACAAATTAACACACACACACACACACACACACACACACACACACATACAACATCTGTGTCTATATTCAAAACATATTTAAACACACACACACACACACACACACACACACACACACACACACACACACACACACACACACACACACACACACACACACACACACACACACAGAGAGAGAGAGAGAGAGACGCGTACACACATATTATATATATATATTACTGAAATAATTTCAGACTCGGAAGTTCCATTTTCCGTATAACAATATTATAATTATTTAAATGATTGTATTTACACGTATTAATGTATTCTTGTTGTTGCCGTCCTTATTGTTTTGTTCTTTCTCGTATTGTCTACAAAATGGTTTCCTATTCTACTTCGTAAGCATGTTGCCATGACCACGATTACAAGCAAAAAAGCTAAAAGACAAAAAAAACGAAAACTTCAACTCCATTAGCTCACACGTCACTGTGTTCGTGTGTGGCACACAACGCTCATCTTCCTGACAGGTAAACTTGAAAACTATTATAAGATTTATCCAACAAATCCAAATATTCTCGGTAAAAGCGGAAGTTGGCAGTTTCAAGAAAACAGTCTTTGCGGTATCGTCGATGGTGAGCGACATACCCTCAGCCGTTATCCACCACCGCTTGGCTTTGATTTGACCAGAAGCTTCGCGGGTAGTGTATTCCTGGCTCACGGACAAACTCTGGTCTGTAAATCGTTTTACTTCTCCTGGGGTATGAATGGAACTTTTGTCTGTGCTTTTCCAGAAACAAAATCACCTTGTTTCGTCTGATAAAGTCTTCTTCCTCTTCTGTGATGGAAACGTTTTGCTTGAGCTGCGTCCAGTGTGGGTCGTCGTGTTTCTGTGACCTGTCACACAAGAATGCGTGGATGAAAGTAAAGCTCCCAACATTGTGTACGTGGTTTTGCTTGGCTTCTCTGTGGAGAACGTCGCTGAGTAATTCTCCCCAAGACTTGTGCTGAAGGGGAACGATGAACTCATCTGGGTCTACGACCACCACAAACTGGGAAGTGTTTCGGTTGCGATAGATACAATCCTGTATGGTGATCTCTTGTCCATGATACCAGGCTTTGTTGGCCGGACGTTTGGGCATGGGGAGCACGGTGAGGAGTCCCCGGTCTGTGTAGTGTCTCAACATGGCGTCCACCATCGGCCCCACACTCTGATTGTAGATGTACATGTGGCCCGCCCCCATCAGTCGGTTGAACGTGATCGACTGGAGCAACATGGCGTGATGGTTGTAACGGTTAAACAACATGGCATAGCACACCGTAAACTCTCTCACCTGTGGGGGAGACAATCAGACAAATACATAGCACACCGTAAACTCTCTCAGCTGAGGGGAAGACAATCAGACAAATACATAGCACACCGTAAACTCTCTCACCTGTGGGGAAGACAATCAGACAAATACATAGCACACCGTAAACTCTCTCACCTGAGAATTTCCTGGAGGGAAAAGACATCAAATGAGGTAGTGCTATAAGATGCCCATGTACAATGAAATTTTTACAAAATACCCCCCCCCCCCCGGAGACTTTGAGTTGGGTAGACAAAGCTCAAAGTTCACCTTTTCACCGGCCGGATAGAGCAGGGTAAACTGGTGTCCCTTCGTACCGGAGCCGAGCAAGGAAAATCTCACGTACTTTGGTGTAGTGTCTTTGGGTACGGGGCATTCCAGGGACACTCCACAGGAGCTGGGGGACAGAGATGACTGGTTGACTTGGGGGAATTATTGTGGGGCGGGGGGAGAGAGGGGGGGGGGGAGAGTTTCCCCGGCAAGACATTTGTGTGGGGTGAATATCATAAAAAGTCAAGGTGAGGACATTATGTTGTTTGTTCCAGGAGTACCATAAGTCAAGAACAGGACATATGTTGTTTGGTCTAGTAGTACCATAATAAGTCAAGGTGAGGACATTTTGTTGTTGGTCCAGGTATACCATAAGTCAAGGTGAGGACATTGTGTTGTTGGTCCAGGTATACCATAAGTCAAGGTGAGGACATTGTGTTGTTGGTCCAGGAGTACCATAAGTCAATGTGGGGACATAAAAATTGCTACCTCAGAATTGCAAAGGTCTATCTGCTCAGTACTTAGTTTTGAAAAATTGGACGTCAACATTTTTCAGTTTCACACCATGTCAAGCTGGTTTGAATGCAATTCTTTGAATATCTCGATAACGACTCCCAACAATCTTACGATTTTGATAAAGTAGATAGAGCATTTTTTTTCTGACCGCGTGGTGCTAGTAATTCAAAACAGCCAAAAATGTGAGAAAAAATGTTGTAATTCTGAGGCAGCGATATATGGTCTGCTCCAGGCTGGCTCAAGGCCGTTGTCTGTGAACAGTATAAAATCATAATAATAATAATAATAATAATAATAATAATATGTGATTTTGAGGACATCATTATTGCTCCGCCTCTGTCTGTCTGTCTGTCTGTCTGTCTGTCTGTCTGTCTGTCTGTCTGTCTGTCTGTCTGTCTGTCTGTCTGTCTGTCTGTCTGTCTGTCTGTCTGTCTGTCTGTCTATCTATCTGTCTATCTATCTATCTATCTATCTTTCTATCTATCTATCTATCTCACTTTCTCTCTCTCTCTCTCTCTCTCTCTCTCTCTCTCTCTCTCTCTCTCTCTCTCTCTCTCTCTCTCTCTCTCTCTCTCCATTTCTCTACCATATTTCATTTCTGCCTCCTTTTTTTTTACCAAAGTTTTTCCTCTTGGTTTTCTCTCACTCCCACAATGAACAAAGATTTTTACAGGACAATATGTAACAACAACAACAACAATAGCAATAATAATAATAATAATAATAATAAAAATAATATTACTACTAC